AACATAGCCCCCCCAATAAGGGACGGCTCCTGACGCCCCAAAAACAAAAGGATCAGTGGATCTGTGTTCGACTACTCCACCTAGGCTGCATTTTTTAGCAGAGATCCACTGAGAAACTTGCTGTTTCAGCAACATTTAATTTAAAAACTGAACTTTTGAGGTTAAACAAATGTTCATAATTAGTTTAAATAAATTACAAGTTAAAAAGGGCATGGACATTTCTCTCTTTTGTGTCGAAAAACTATAGAACCGTGAGACTAAATTAAAATTTTATGCAACGATACAGGAAATTCACAATTCGRTTTATCTGCTAAAAGAAGAAGAATTTATTGGAATTAAGCTGGAAAAAATAAATTTGAAGGTCAATTAAATTATAAAACACGAGGTAAAATTTCCCTTTGTTAATTTAATGGATGCATTTTAAGTGCATTTATTTATTTATTGGTCCATTTATATATTTCGCCTTTTATTTCTAATTATGTTACATTCGGACCTCCACAATCGTGGTTTGAACATGAGGTTGTGGTTGGTGGTCATGGGGGTTCATTTCGTGTCACGCGTTTTCCGCACTYGTTCTGGGATATGTAGTTTTTCAGCAGCAAAAAAGCAACAAACGCAAACCGCGTGGAACTACAAGTCGACAAAACTGTGCGCATGCGCAGTAACGTTTGACGACGGCAGCAAAAAGCGAGTCCTGAATTATCAAGGCTTCACGTAGCTGTCGACRAAAAGAGACAACCGTTATCCTGGTAAAAACTGACATGTTTTATTGTGTTTTATGTTTCACTTAATGCCAAAGAGATAGTCAAAGCAACAACGTGTTAAAGCAGAATGTAAACGCTTGTCATTGTTAAGGTTTCAACAGTGCTTCGTTTTCGTTCAAAATCAAATAACTTTATATAAGTACGACTGAAGGAAGAATAATTTTATTATAAAATCCAGAGTCCATAGCTTGACCATATAAACAGCCTGCTGTTTTTTAACAGTTTTGCCTGAAGTGAAAGTGTTTTGTWGTCCAAATGAGTGGGAACTATAAACTATAAAACCACTTGTATAATGAATTGTTTACTGATACAAATGATGTTTAACAGTTTGACAGGTGATTTATTTGTGTGTGTTCTGTTATATAGGAAAGAAGTTGGATTTAAAGATGACAGGTTTGTCACTAAATCCTTTGACTGACTTATCCCTCCATTTCTCTACATTTCTCTTTTTTACTCTGCAGCAGGGGCGTAATCACCATCCTAAAACTGTGTGGGTGGGGTGGGGTGGGGGGGACATCTTTTTTTAAAGGTTTTTCCTGCTTCGGTTGAAATAAGTGGGGGGGACAGAGGACTAAGGCTGCCACAAATGATTATTTTTATAATCGATTAATCACTGATTATTTTTTCGATAAGTCGACTAATCAGATCAAACGTTAAT